ACCACAGACAGAATCAGCAGTCGGAGAAAGGCGTTTATTGGGGGTAAGGAAGCCCACATGCGCAGCAGACACACAGAGTTTTAAAAGACCCTCTGCAAAGCAGAAGCAGGACTCAGCTGAAAATTAGGATCTTCTCTATGATTGGGCTTTTAAAGCCTCTGAAGTTTTCCTCCTCTAACTTAAGGTTGGTCCATTTGAAGAAAGCAAGGTTTGATTGGCCCCACAACTGTTGTGTGACATGTCCTGAGCGGGCCTTGAACTCGTTGAGTCAGTCCATCAGCATGGGGTCTGCTGGTGGGAGACAAAAGCTTACAAGGCCTTGTTTTGTTTTGAGCTACCGGGCTTTAGTTAAGTCAGGAGGGTGAGGACAAAGCTGGCCATCTTGGAAATTCGCCACCTTTATTACCTAGCCAAGGCCCCTCTCCCTATCTGTCTGCCTACCAGGGAGTTTGTCTAAGTTCTATTCTCAGCTTATTGAGGACAGGTGGTACTGTTGACCTTTCTGCTCAGGTGGGAAGGTGTCCTGGGACTCAGGAGCCCAGGAACCACGCAGCTCTGAGGTGGAACAGTGTCCCAAGGGAAGGCTATCCTGAGACCCAAGAACCACACAGCTCTGAGAGGAGGCCTCAACAGAGGTGTTGCAGCTCCTAAAAGTATCCCCAGCTGAGCTGAGGAACCCAGGAGCCTCAGCCCTGCTCCTTCTTCTCTTCTGGGCTTCTTCTGATGAGAGAGTCACACAGGGCAGCAAATCTCTTAAAACAGATTTATTGGAGGGCTGAAACCAGGAAAGGAGGGACAAATCCAAGAGTGGCCTGTGCGTGCAGACACAGTCTTTATATAGGATTTCTTAGGGGGTGGAGCTTTCCAGGGCAGAGATTTCTAGAGTGAGGATTGGTGGAATTTCAAGTTCTGAGCTTGGGACAACTCGGGAATTGGTGGGTTTTCCTGATCAGGGATTGGTTGGTTCTCTAGCTCAGGGATTGGCAGATTTTTGTGGAGAGCTCAGGGACTGGCGGGTTTTCCTGCTCAGGGATTGGTGGTGTTTTGTTCAGCCTTTTCACCAAAAATTATCATAATCTGGGAAGGATCCTACTGAGGGGCTGGAGATGGCCTTTGTGACAGAGGCTCAAAATGTCAATCATTATGACAGTTAGAGAGGTGTGTGGGAAGGGCCTATTGACTCATACCTCAAGGGCTTTGCAGACTTGAACCCTGAATTAAACAAAACAACTTTCCTTATCTAAACTATGAATTTATACTAAGGAGTCAGATTCCCGGTCCTGGTCCCTGGCTGGCAGTGCCAATCCCTGTAAAGCTCCCTGCTTGCGGGGAGGGGGCTAGTTTATACGTTGTTGCCACGGAGATGCTCTGGAGCTCACAGACTAGCTCCAGGCGGACAGGGCATCCCCTGCTGGGCGCTCCCTGTCAGCAGCAACCACTGCTGTCAGAAGCCACCTTCTCCGTGACTTCAGCTTGTCAGTGTGTCCTGGCATCTGATCTCAGGTCCCCCTGCTGTGGAGATTTAGCCTCAATGGCTCTGGGGTCCTGAGGGGTTGCTGCCCGGTGTAGAGAGGCCAGCAGCACAGACTGAAGACCCAAGCATCTCTCTCAGGGTGGCACCCAGGGGAGCTGAGAAGCCGAAGAGGGGGCACCCGGAGAAAGCTGTAGGGGGTGCTCAGGGGCAAAACTTGAAGTAGCAGGGGCCTGGCTGCTGGAGCAGGCCCCATTCCCGGGGCAGGGGGTGAGGGAGGAAGGAAGCTGGACACACTCCTGTAAAGTATCCTAAGTTTACAAAAGGAATCCATGTGAATAGCCAACAGCCAACCAATTCTGGGTTATTGGGGTTTTCAGGACCTAGGTTATGACCCTTAATTCTGGTGACATCAGGAGCTGTGAAAAGTAAAGGCAAACCCACTGCCTGGCCGACCCATTCATCTCTCAGGTAAACTGAGAGACAGTTTCCTCAGTAAAGCTCCTCCCTCGTTCCCTGGATTCCTACAGGGCTTTGCTGAGCTCCGAGGATGCTGCTGATCACAGACTCCATGCACGGAGTCCCTGGGAGCCTGAGGGCTGTTCGGTTGTTTATCCGAGTTCGGTATCTTGCCATGGGTGCGGCACGCTTGAGGCAGGCTTTGTAAAGTGCAGTTGTTGAATAGAGTCACTGAAATGCGGCTCCTACTCCGGACATTTCATCCTGTTCCCAGCCTCATCATTCTCCTCCAGGCATCCACAAGGTTCTGATGCTCTCCTTCTTCAGGCCTTTGCTAAAATGCTACTGAAAGAATCAGACTAACTTTGTAACCTATGTTTCTTTTAATTGTCTTATAACTTATATTTGCAAGTTTTAGGCCCATGTTAATTAAAGCCTCTTAGTGCTTCTCCAGAGAGCCGAGGAATGTAAAAGTTCCTGACATTAGCCATCTGTGAGGGCAGGGATAAGGAAGAGAACAAGCGGAGATCTCTACTAAATGGAAAAAAAAAATCACCGGCTGGCGCCAGTGAGATGGGCTTTGTTTGGAAACTGGGCCAAATGGCCCCAATCCTTCTCCTGACCTTTGATCCAAAGCCTGTAACCCACACTCCTCAGAACAGACATGGGATGAGTTAATCACCCTCCCACGTTTAACTGTGGATGGAAGGAAATTCCAAACTGACTTGAAGATCAGATATTTACGACAGGGCTGACTGGACCTAAGGGTGACCAGAACTAACCAATTATTTTAAAAGTTAAACACCTCATCCAATCCTAAATCGCCAAGAAGGCAACCCCAGGAGATTCCCGCCTTGTGTCTTTTAAAAACCTAAGGTCTTTGTCTCCCGGTGCCACTCCTAGCTGACCAGCAGGGGTGACCCCATTGCGCAATGGTCAAGAAGAGTCTCTTGCATTTTTGCATCGATGGATGATTAGTTTCCTGAGTTCTCTTCATACCTTCTTATATTTAGGCTCTTGCTGGGCCTAACACTACCTTCTTGGTAAGGCTTTCCAGGGGCATCCTATGAACCATTCTGTTCCCCACTCCGCTTTTCTTTTTTCTTTTTTGAGTTAACTTGTCTTTAGAACATTTAATACCCTCTGACTGACAACTTACTTTTTATGTGGATTTTTGTGTTACTTTTTATTTGAAAAAATAATTTTATCAAAATCCTGGGTTTGTTTGGTTTTTTGCTTGTTTGGTTTTGGTTTTGGTTTCTGAGTTTACTGCCCTGTTTTCCCTGCTGCCCCTGTTTTTTTGTTTTGTTTTGTTTGGTCAACTTGACACATTTAGAATCACCTGGGAAGAGAAGGCTCTGTGGGCAGATGGGTGGAACAAGCCATGAGGAACAGTAAACACTATTCCTCCATGGTGTTCGCTTCAGTTTCCATGTCCAGGTTCCTGCCTTGACTCCTGCTGAAGTTTCACTGTGCTGGCTCACAGGGCAGTCTCTTCTAAAATGAATGCTGGGAGTCGTTTCCCTCGTTCTGTTCTCGCCACACCTACAACAGTAGCTTGTACAACGTAATTACCCAGAAAATATTTTGTGAGGGCTGAGGAGATGGCTCCTCAAGTAAAGCGTGTGCTATGAAAACAAGAGCGTTCAGATCCTCAGAGCCTCGATATGTAAGGTGAAGATGGATGAAGGCACCGCTATGGCAGACTTGGGCCTCCACACACTAGTTCACACGTGTGTGCCTTCACACAACAAACAAGCACTCCCATGACATAACACACTGAGATAAAATACATACATATTGTGAATAGAGAAAAGACTTCTCTTTATCCGTACATGTCTGTTAAGTGGGGGCGGGTATCCTCGGAGGCCCAGAAGAAAACTATGCATTTCCCTGGAGCTGGAGTTACAGTGTCTCTGAGCCGCCCGACGTTGAGCTGAGCAACGGACTCCAGGCCCCTGAAGAGCAGCAACCGTTCGTAACCAGCACAGTAAATGGACGTTTTAATTCTTAATTCTCTTTAAGACTCAGGGAGACACCTCTTTGAGAAGCCCATGGCCATGCTCTCCAGTTTCTGAGTTCTTCTCTCTAAAGCCTGGTATTAAAATGTCCTTATTTAACCCCACGTCTGCTTCATAAAAAAAAAAAAAAAAAGATTTAAAGCACTTCCTTGGGCGTTGTAATAGGTGACTTCCCCCACTCTTTTACAATCCTAAACTCATTTGAGTTTAGGATTGTAAACATTTAAATTGGTTAATTATATTAGATTTGAAACATAACTCCTTGTGTGTTGTCAAAGTCAAGGTTTCTTAGTAGTGCACCAGTTCTCCTCTAAGAGTAAGACAATTGTTTTTACAATTGCATGTAAAAACACACTCAAATCCTTAGAAGTGGGATTTGATCATAGAGTTGCACCTTCCTAAGTCCTAGACGGCACTTCCGGAACCGTAACGTAAGCTTGGCTACCCAGGCCAATCTATGATCTTCATGGAAGAGCTAGGTTCAGTTTCCGGAAAACCTCTCACGCCTTCCTTCAGAGGCGTGGAGCCAGAGCATGCCGCGCTTTCCGATTGGCGAGAAACATAAGAGGCGGAGCTTAGGCCGAGCCGGCGCAGGCGCCGTGGTTTCGCGTGAGGGACGAGCGGGTGGTGCAGGTATAGTGCTGCTGGAGAGGGTGAGGGAGGGACGAGCGGGTGGTGCAGGTATAGCGCTGCGCAGGAGGGGCCGTCGGGGAGGGCCCAGCGAGTCTAGGGGCAGCTTCTGGGCGCGTGCACCCAGGATCTGGTGTCAGCTGTCTCGTGTGCGTGCTTCCTGACCATTACAACTACAGGCTGATGGATAGTCGTGTCCTTGGTCGCAGCTCACCTCCCCTCCCCCCCCCCCCCCCCCCCCCGCTGTATTTGAGGGCAACCTTTTCGCCCTGCTCAGCCCCGCGTGGCCCTAAAGAGTCACAGAGTTCCTAGAAGGGCTCGTTTTGACCCGAGTAGGGTCACCCCTTGTGAAGGCCAAGACAGTTTAGAGCAGGGTGTGAAGTTTCATTGCTGTTTGATGCAGCGCCGTTGGTGGTGGGATTTGGAGACAAATTCCTCGAATCCAGAACGACCCTGTACCCTCTACTGTCGCCTTCCACAAATAGATTTACCCATATCAGAGCCTAGGAATGGGGCATCATAATAGCCAAACCTTTACGGTACTGGGCACTTCAAGCTTTCCTGAAAGGATCGAGTGTTGATCCTGAAAGGATTGAGTGTCGCGTGTGCCTGGAACAGGAAGAGGGTAGGGGAAAGGGGAGGACCTGGGGTACACTCCCAAGGCAGCAGGAGACTGCCACTACTCCCGCCAGTGTTTTGAAAAGTTGAAAGCGGAAGGAATGCAAGAGACCAGTAGAGGCTATTTTAACAGGCTGAGGCTTGTACAGAGTGCAGGCTGGTCAGGTGGAGAGCAGGCGGATCTCAGGGGCAGAGGACTAAAGAGTGCTACAGTAGTGAGGTGTAGAGGTGAGGACCGGTTTCTGACCAAGGGAGCTTCTGGTGCCTTGCAGGGGGATACTCCTGTCTGCAGGGTCACCACTGTCTGAAGGGATTCTTCGTCACCAGGTTTCAAATAGCTGTGCAACTGTGTTCGTCAGACAGGGGCATATGTAGGTCTGAAGTTCAGCAGTCGGGGCAGTGAAGGTACGCTGGCCTGGAGAGTGTGGTGAGGAGGGCAGTTAAAACAGTAAGTGACTTCTTTTGTTTGAGGCAGAGTTTCATTTCCTTGGATGGCCTGGAACTCTGATGTGCAGGCCCTGCTGGTCCTGAACTTGTAATCCTACCCGTGGCTCCGAAATGCTGGGATTACAGGATGTGCCATGATGCCTGGCAATATTGACTTAAAGTGGAGGATGGGAATAGAGACCAGGAACTGGAAAGAACTGTCCTCAGCTGTTGGCTGTGAGATTACAACTGGTTTGTTTCAGGGTCTTTACCCAGGGTCCTAAAACAGGAACAATATCAGCATCCACCAGGCACATAGCATGTGCCAAAAACTGTTGTAAGAATTTTCCCTACCTTTAAAAATGCCCACATTAAAGGGACAGAGCAAATCTGGTGGCTGTTTCATGATGAAACTTTAGCACACAGGAGTAGGGACAAGTGTGCAAAGCTTCAGGAAGTAGCTGGTTTGAAGTTGGCTTAGAACCCAGGCTGCCTTATCTAGAGCCTGTGCATGTGTCACTTGGATGCTGTCTCTGTAGCATGCTGGTCACATTTTCACAGAACTTTTTTTTTTTTTTTTTTTTTTTTTTT